TATTTAAGATCTTTTTGAAATTAAAAAAATTAAAAAATGAAAGTTTTTTTTTTAAATTTAAATTTATAAAATATAAATAATATCAAAAAATAAAACTTTTACAAATTCCATCATACATGCCCTTCTACACGTGACTTGTGTGTTGGTGCATGAATTCTCTATTCACATTAGCACCCCTTCCCCTGTTTCTTTTCCCTTACCCTCAGTTTCCTTTTAAAAAAGGCCAAAGCCCCTATTTGCACCATCCATTTATTTTTTTTCCGTGGTCAACACCTTTCAGAATTTTTTCTCCTTATTCACACCTTCCATTTTTTAAAACCCGTGAAAAACTCAATATTTTAACATACCGTTACGGCACCGTTAAAAACACACGACGTGGCACCCAGAAATTGACGTGGCACATGCGGCGTTTCCTTATTCGTTATGTTCAGATATGGATCTGCTTTTTGATGATGTGGCTTTTTTTTTTGCACACGTGGACACCACATGTGCAGTGGGGCCCACTGCACAGGACTTTTCCCGCTTGTCCCTACGTCCCCACCAAAAAAAAAAAATTTAGGGGGGTTCCTCGTCGTGAGGAACCCAGATCGAGTTCAAGCTGGGTTCCTCCGGAGGAACCCAATCTGGGTTCGAGCTGATCGGAAGTTAAGCAAATCAGAAATTCTCCTCACCAAAAACAAACAGAAACAAAATCCAAGAAAATAAAACTAATCCAACACGACACAGGAAATAAAACTAATCAAAGAAAGATAAAATAACCCAACTTTGCAACCAAAGGAACCCAGCTCGGGTTCCTCGCCGAACCCAGAGAAATTTTTTTTATTTTTTTATTTAAGTAAACCACATCATCAAAAAAAAGCATCCACATTGGATTACTAACGGCACATAACGGCCACGTCAATTTTTGAGTGCCACATAATACATTTTGTAACGGTACCGTGACGGCGCGTTAAAATGTTGGGTTTTTTACGGGTTTTGAAAAGTAAAGGGTGTGAATAGGGAAAACAAATTCTGAAATGTGTTGACCACGAAAAAAAAATAAATGGAGGGTGCAAATAAGGGTTTTTGCCTTTAAAAAAAAAAAAAGAGGCAAGGAATTGTCTACGTTAGCGTTGACATGACAAGGGGGACAAAATCGTAATGTACTACGGTGCGCGTGACACAAACGTCTATTTTGGATTTTTTTTTTTATTTTAAGCCCAAAGATAAGGGGTTAAAGTTTTTAGGTTGTTAGTTGAAAGGCTAAGATTTTCATACATAGCCATTAGCCAGTAAGGTGGAGGGTTGGCCCTTTACTCACACCCCACGCACCTATGAAGGTACAATATTCAAACCCCATTTCGATTTTTTATTTTAATAAAAAAAATTAATTTCTTTATCTAAAAAAATATTTTTTTAGTGCCTAAAATTTATTATCTAACAATTATTTTCAATTTCTTAGTTATTTTTTTATGCAAGTAGATAATATATTAGATGATAAAAATTCTCAAGTAAAGAAATTAAAGTTTTTTTTTTGATCATTTTACTTAAAAAATTTGTTTTTTCATTTCTTTACTTCAGAATTTTCATCATGTAACTCATTACATGTACAAAAAAAATAATAGAAGAACTAAAAAAATCCTAAATAATAAACGTTATGGACTAAAAAAAAATTTCTTAAGTAGAATGAAAAGAAGTACTTTTTGTTAAAATAAATGAACTTAAAAAGGGTTTTAACCAACCCAAAATCTCTTGTACTTTGTAGAAGAGATTACCAAGGTGTCACTTAAAAGCATTTTCTTAAAAAGGTAAATTTATCACTAATAAATTTGGAATTTTATCGGAAGAGAATTTAAATATTAAATTTTAAAGTAACATTTAAGTAAATTTTGATAAAGTTACTAATCTAAGTTTTTACTAAACTTACTTAAGTTATGTTTGGGTTACTTTTCTACATTATTTTTCTATATAGCACTTTATAAAAGTATTAATTTATTATAATTAAATTAATTTTAATTAATATTTTGTATAATTTCATAATCATATTAATGTATAAGACTCTTTCAAAGTAATTATCAATCAATAACATAATTTTTTCATAATAGAATATTAAGAAAGTTACAACCATAGCATTTCATAGTAATATAACTTTAAAAACACTTTTTAAAGTTAATTTTTAAACTTTCCTCCAATAAAATTTTAAATTTATAAGAGAAAATTTTACTTTTTAATCAAACATTATTTAAGCTTTGCCAAACAATTCCACTAAAATTATGTGGGCTATGCCTTTAAAATTCAACACAATTACCCACCCTGACCACCAAAAAAGGAAGAGCTCCATGATCCATTAATGGATATCAATGAAATAGTGAAATGCAAAAACAAAATCTATAATAAAATTAAAAGATCAACCAGAATCTATTTATAAGCTAAGTGTCATGTAGTAGGCATCTTCAACATTTGAGTATTGGAGACTTATCACCAAAAAAATTTAATTTACTCCAACGTATCCAGGGAGGGGAATTGCATAAAAACTTATATGGGCACTTAAATTACAAATTTAAAAATTGAATATGAGAGTTATTTTTTATGAAAAGAAAGTTTTAATGGCAGCGAATTTATCCCTAAAACGAAATGAAAGCTTATTAGGAAATAACCTCTAGGTTAACTCCTGAACTTTTTTTATTTTCTCAATTTAGTTCTCAAGTTTATCTTTGGACGAATTAGCACCCTATACTATACAAAAGAAAGGCCAGTTGAATCGTTGACCTACGGAGATTATCATGGTAATGCTATGCTTAGCAACTCCTTTAGAAAACCATGTTCACCCCTTGTGGGCAAGTGACAAAAGTCACTTTGCTTAGCCATTCATTGAACCATTCATCAATTTTTAAATCAAAATGTGAAGCAATGAGGTAAATCTCTTATTAACTATGCTATGATATTTTTTTTCTCCCCTTTTTTTCTTTTAGTTTATGAAACACAACCATTGTAAATCAATAATTGAGGAATGGTAGATGAGAAAATTACACATGTTTACCTTAGTTGAACTAATATTCCTATAAATTACTCATAACAAGTAAAGGAAAATCAACTTCCAAGTTCCAAGTTTGAGTTGATTCCAAAAAGAACAATTACTTCCAAATCGTAACAAGAAAACATAATGAAAAAAACAAGAAAAAATAAAAGAAAATCACTACTCTCCCCTTACAAAATTGATAAAGGACAATTACTCTTTGGTTCCTATAGTTGGGACCTCTGACTGCTAAGTACAGACAAGACCTTTATCTTTCGTCGTACCGTATTTTTATGTCTCGGGACCTATCGGCTTTTGGAGTAAAAGGCCCATTTAGTTGGAAGATATTCATTTACAGTACCTTTCAGTCAAGAATTTTAAAGAAAATGTCTTTAACGTGTGGATTAGGTACCATGTTCTTTCCGTATAAAATACTATAATTGTGTTTTATTTATTTAATTTTATTAATTTATAATTATTAGAATATTTATAAATATTTATAAATTAATTTTAAATATAAATATTAATTATTTTATTAATATCAAATAATCATTATAATTATAAATTATTTTTAATAATTAAATTAAATATACTTATATTATTTTTATCTAGTATTAACAAATTTTTTTTATCTCTAACCATGGTCGTGATCTAAATAAGGTAGACGTCTAACCTCAGCTTTTTCTTTTTTTTTTTAATTTCTGGATAGTAACCTAATAGCATTTTTTAATTAAAGAAAATTAAAAATAATAGTGATAATGAAGAAGTCTTTATAGCCTAAGTGATTATTTATATTTTATAAAAAATAATTTTATTTTAATAAAAATATAGAATTCAAATCTTACATATATATATACATTTAAACATAAAAAATTATGAAAAAATAAGAAAAATTTTCAAGTAATTAATAAAAATTAAATTTTCAATCAGTTAAATTTAAGCATTAACACTTACTTACGAATCATTGAACCTAAATCTTACCTTTATATCTAAAATAATAATAATAATAATAACAGTAACAACAATTCATAAGACGGTAAAGAAGCGATATTGAGTGTGAGAAAAGAACCGCAATGTTAGGAATCTATCCACGTTCAATAATAATTCAAGGTGTATAGTACTGCACGACACTTCTTTTTATGAAAACTGTAATTTAATACATTGTCCAAACTTGATTCGGAAGGTTAGCAGTGGCTAGACGTCCTTACCAAAATGAGCACGCCAGCATTTCAGCCCAACCCATCTCAAAAATCTTAACCCATATTATTCGGCTTTTCGAAGCAAATCAATCATTTTGACCTAAATGGAACGGGCCGACAACGTGTCAAAATCTTCATGCTCCATGAGTCAAGCGAGATCTTCCCAACCATCGATATCTTCCCCTCTATAAATAAATATACTGCTTGGGGGTCCCTAACACTAATCTTGGATAAGTGGTGGGGCTCATCCTTTTTAGGGTTTTTTCTTCTCTCTGTTTTCTGATTTTTAATTTTTTAATTTTTAAAATATACTTACTAGACTTTTTATGTTCCTAGTCTCTATATTCTGCTTCTCTCTACTCCAGTCTTTGGCAGAAAAAAGATTCAAAAACAATCAACTATCTCTTCTTCTTGCATTGTTCCTGAAAAAATCATTACAAGTTAGGGTTCCTGCAGAAAGAATCTGGGAAAAGCTCGTGCATTTTGGGTTAGTTCATGTGGATGCTTTATGGGTCTTGATTATTTTTGTTTGATCTTTTCTGGGTATGTATCAATTTTTGGATTTTGTTTCTGATAGGTTCAGAAATGGAGTCGACTCATAATCAGACGATAGAAGAAATCGACGAGAATATCAACAATAATATAACCATCATCGTCAATCCGTGTGCGAGTGTGAACGGGGAAGATAGCAACACCACCGGCACGGAGAAGACTAATTTCTCCGCCTCGGAGGCGTCGGTGGTGGACCCAACTCCGGCTGTGAAAGAAGAAGAGATAACGGACTCGGAGCCTCAGGAATTAATTCAAGGGCTGGTGCAGGTGAGGCCGGGCCAAATCAATCCGTCGCTGGTACCGAAACCGAAGCGACCCTCGAAAGACCGACACACGAAAGTGGAAGGCCGTGGCCGTCGGATCCGTATGCCTGCCACGTGTGCGGCCAGGATTTTCCAGCTGACTCGGGAACTCGGCCACAAGTCCGACGGGGAAACGATTAAGTGGCTGTTGGAACGTGCGGAGCCTGCCATTATTCAAGCAACGGGTTCGGGTACAGTGCCGGCCATCGCCGTGTCTGTCAATGGCACTCTTAAGATCCCAACTTCGTCCACCAAGCAAGACGGTGAATTGCCCAGAAAGCGTAGAAAACGACCGTCTAATAGCGAGTTCGTCGACGTTAACGAGCACCAAAGCTCTGTCTCTTCCGGGCTGGCACCCATAGCGCCAATAGCTTACAACGGCGTCAATGTCAGTGCACAAGGGTTAGTCCCAATATGGTCAATGGGCACTTTCGGTGTGCTTCCAGCTGCCGCCACCGGTTCTAATCAGGCACAACTATGGGCGTTTCCTGCAACCGCTGCTCCATTTTTCAGTATGGCAGCCAGGCCGATATCAAGTTTTGTGTCTGCTATGCAACCAGGCAGCGGTGTCCAGATGGCGGAGGTTCAGGGGTCCGGCGGTGGCTCAATGGGGTCTAGTGCAGTGACTAGTTCAAGCTCAGGTACAACTAGTGTTGGTGGTGCTAGTGGTGGTCGTAGTAATGGTAGCAGCACTAGTAATAGTACTCCACAGATGCTTAGGGATTTTTCCATGGAGATTTTGGATAAAAGGGAGCTACAATTCTTGGGTCGTTCTGCGAATCAGCAAACTACGGGCGAAAGATAATATTGACAAAGATTGAGGTAGTAGGGGTTTCGGGTTTTTCTTTTTCCTTTTTGGTTTGGATTGCAGGAGAAATGGAGGGCAAAAAATATTGTGAATCTTGGCTTTCCTTTATGAACAAAAATATGCATGTAACTTAGTTTCAATTTGTCTAATATGGGGAATACTGACGCTCTCAATTTCAACTCTCAACTTTATTGGCAATTGAGTGTTTAGTATATTTGATTCGAAGACAATGGAGAGAAAAAGGTATAAAATGTTTTGCCTTCAATCAAATTAAACAGTCCAATATCGTTGATTGTATGAACATTTTCAACTTCGGTGAGTAGGGTGGCTGATTTACCTTTATTGCCAATCAAATTTCCAAAATGATCTGATCTAAAAAAAAAAAAAAAAAATTCCAAAATGATATAGGTACCATGTGGGCTTGGTCAAATTACCCAAATGATGTGGGCACAATGTTAACTTGCTATGAAATGCTTGTGTCGGGGTGCGCACTAACATCGTTAGAGGATTTAATTTTGAGGATGAATTAATTTAAAGGTGTATACAAGTGGAGGTTAATTTTAATATATGTAAAAATTGACATAAAATATTTTAATTGTAAATAAAAAACTTTTTTTATTTACTTGATATTATATATATTTATTTAATTATATGAATATTATAATTTTATATAATATGATAATATTTTTTAATTTTAAAATATAAATTATTTATTTTTTTTAATTTTAATTAATATTTTTATATTATATAAATAATAAATTAAAATTTTTAAATTAAAATTTTGAATAAAATGG